TATATATTAGGCTCTATTCGTAAATAATTGAAAAATATAAATTTTAATATATTTTTAAAATTTTAATTTTTCTGTTAAAGTCAATTTTTTTTAATCAAATACATTTATCCTAAGAAAATAGACATAACTACTAACCAATCACCATTTGTCATATCTCAATCCAATTGAGAAAATAAAGCCACGATCTCGGTTCGCATGATGATAAAGATTGGAGTGGATTGTCATAATTAATTTCTTTTTTCTTTTTTATTTTCAGTTTCTGTTTTTGTCTTATTCCCGGTTTAATTGAAAAAGATTGTGGATGAAGATGGTCTTAGGGGCCGTTTACCAAACACTTACCCGGTAAGTGCTTACCGGTAAAATTTAACACTATTATTTACTTACTGAGTAAAAATTTAGTCCACCAAAATGACATCGTATACAACAATTTACCCGGTAAGCGCTTACCATGGTAAGAGTCGTCGCCCACACTTACCGGGTAAGACTCTTCGTCTTTGTCTCGCTCTTACCGGATAAGATTCTTGATCTTTACCATATTCATACGGTAATGTAATGTTACTTGGTAAACGGCTCCTTAGATGATAAAGAACCAATCTAATCCATGAGTTTCAAATTTTTCAGTATGCAGACTTAAGTAGAGTCACTATTCTTTGAAAACTTGTAGCTTTGCACATATTGGGAAGATAAACCCTATAGCTATAAAGCTCATGCATTATAAACTTGTACATTTTGCTTCTTATGGTGTAACTAAGAAAATTTTAAAATAATATGCGTGAATTATGTAGTAACCATTGCATCTACTCTATAACTTTGGCTTATATCATCTAAAGCTATTGATCTTTATTGTGTCGGGTGGGACTGTTTTCAATTTAATTTATGACAAATATAATTTGTTTGATTTCCACCGCCATATCTTTTATTTTCTCTCAAAACATTTCCCTAAGTTGTATTTGTGGGTTATTAAACAGGGAGTACATGACATATTTCAAGGCTCACCAGATCGGCTGACGAACCAAGGGTGAACAAGATTGTGTTCATAGGGAAGAATTTAGACGCCCAAGAACTAGAAAAGGGGTTTAAGTCGTGTAAACTGTGAGCTAACCACCAAATCAAACATTATGTTTACATTTTTGGTGATATTTGTTGTATAGTAAATGATCAATCCAATACACCCTATTTTCACTTGTTGGGTCTTTATTGAATTATATTTGGCTTGAAATGCTTGGCTCAACCGCTGCTACTTGCTCATGAACAAAGATTTCTGAAACAAACACGTGATTGTGATTGTGCTTAGCTGTGATGAATTTCTATGGTTCCCTTTTTGATTTGAAAGAGTGATGGATGACCTTTCAACGGTTGTAAAACAGAGTAGCTGAGCATCCCACATCGGCTGAATGAAAGATACAAAGGAGAGAGGATGCATCATAAAAAGCAAGGCCCAAGAAGAAGAAAAGCATACCTTTCTCGGCCTTTTGGCTAAGATCAAGTGTAGTATCTGTTCTTATCAGTTTAATATCTGATATGTAGGCCATCGGCCTACTCGATATTAATCTTATTTTTTATGGGGAAAGACTCATCACAATAGCTTGCTATTGGGGTCTTTGAGAGTCGCCTTGGTGTTGCACTATTGCCTTGGCCTGGCTCACCCCTCCAATCCTACTTCAAATATTTCTTTTTCTTTTTTTGCTATCTGTTTGAAGCTGCAATTCAACACAGTTACAGAGCAAGGTTGCATTTTTTCTGTTGAGCAAAGTCTTCAAGTTCCTAATGGTCATTGATTCTTGGAGTTTTAATTCTATTCCAGTTTTGATTTTCAAATTGAACGATTTTGTTTTTGCAATTCTCTGCTTATCGTTGCTCGTATACCATCAATTTGCAGTAAAATCAAGGGTGATTTTGTAACGTATCGGCTCTGAGGTTTCTTACCCAAGTGTCTACAGATCGGTGGAAGAAGGGAACGATTATTGGGGTTCTACTATTTTCACAAGAAAAATATTTGATTCGTTTGATGTTCAAGAGACACGGATAGCGCATCTTCTACTATAGCTCAAATAATATCGCAAATATGTATGCTAGATACCACAAAGTCATAACGCGTTTCCGGTATATGAAAGTCAGAAGCACTTGTAGTTAGAGATGGCAAGCAAATACTTGCCTGATGGGGGATCTGATACCCCAAACTTGGTTTAGCAAGGGGAATCCCTGAGTTAATTGATATGGAGACGGGAATCCCTGAATTTAGAAACCAAGGGAGACGGGAATCCCTTGGGTCCCCGAACTCGTATCAGGCTTGAACTTGATGCATATTATAGTAATATATTGTACATATATACGTATAAAACAATATAAATACTATAAATTATTCATACCATCACTACAAAATAAAGAGGCTTCTCCGACGGAAAAATTCGTCGGTAATCTACCAGTAAAAGACATCATCGGCGGATTACCGGCGTATCTCATCAACGGAGAAAATGTGAGTGGTGATCATGATTCGGGTGGATTTTCAATCACCATGGAAATATCCTTTTGTGATGGTTAATCGGCCTAGGGGTGTTCGCAATGTGGCTTGGGGCCAAACCACACCGCAAAAATCACAGCGGTTTGTACCTATCGAACTTTATGTCTATAATCCAATAATTATAAGTTAGAAAGTACATTATAATATCGACGATAACGTGACCGTAGTCCAGAAAATAATAGGTTTCAATACATCTGATTCCCAAATACATATTGCATAATTATATATAATCTAAGAAATAAAAAACAATAAACTTCAAACTAAAGTGGAGCGTGGTTATATGAAATTAAGAATATACACGGTGCGGTTTGAGCCGCAGCTTGATAACTCACAACTGCAAACCACATCACATACTACGGTTTGGTAAAAAATGCAAACCACATCACGGATGTTCTAAACCGCACTTTGGGGTTCGGTGTGAGCGGTTTGGATGAACACTCTAAATCAGCCGGTGATTCGCCAAAAAAGAGAAGGGACAAGAATAATACCACACAGAATATACGTATGAAACCATGTCACGATGGAAAGCTTTCAAAGGTAAACACAGGTTTATGAGAGTTGTTCAGCAATAGAGTCGCTCATAGTCCCACATCGCCTGCATGAAGAATACAAATGCGAGCAGATGCATTATAAAAGCCAAGTCCCAAGTAAGAAAAAAACATACCTTTCTCTGTCTTTTGACTAAGATCAAGTGTAGTATTTGTTCTTATCAGTTTAATATCTGATATATAGACCATTGGTCTATTCGATATTAATCTTATTTTTTATAGAGAAAAATCCATCATAATAGCTTGCTATTGAAGTCTTTGTGTGTCGCTTAGGTTTTGCACTACTACTTTGGCTGGCGCACCCCTCCAATTCTAGTTTAAACTCTTTTGCAGTTCAGGTTCAAAGCATATTTTAACGAAGAAAGAACTTTCATGGACATAATCGAGGCGTTGAGGAATTTCACCTACACTTTCTGCTTAATGACTGTAGTAATATAATTATGCTTAATGAAATGTCTTACAATGCGCTTAGTGTTTCCATTTTATGCTCAAAAAATTTGAGCTTTCTGAGAAAAGGTTCTGTGACATATTCTAGATCCTAAACAAAGTGAACCTTTTCACTGATTTGCAGGATCTTTTACGTTTAACAGGCGTTGAATGAATATTTCTAGCCATCGTGAAAGCTATGCGAATAGATCATCACATGAAATTTAGTAGCTTATCATGGTACCAGATCATTTACACCATTTATCATACAACAGGGTAAAAGAGGACCGGAACAAGCTAATAACTTAAGTTTGACATCATTAAAAATCTGATCCTCGGCATAAAATGTTTGTATAATTGGTGCTGGATTTGCCAGCCCTGCAAAAAATAAGTAAACAGTTCAAGCCTATCAAATATTGTGCTGAAATTTACAGATAAAGACTCCACAAGACATGTCCACAATTAAATAAACTCTAAATGAGGCTTTAAATCACCATTCCACACCTGTAGTCTCTATGACAATATGGTCAAATTTCCCTTTCTAGAAAAGTGGGGTTGGAGAGAGATTATATTAAGCCCTTCATATAGAACCAAATGTAGTCTTACCATTAAAAGGGACTGACATAATATGTAGAAAAACAAGCTTTTATTATAAATACTTGAACTTAATTAATCCAGGATTTGGGAGGCACGACGGTGTTTAACTAAAACTTAGTAGAGAAATATTCTCGTTGAATTATAAGAATTTCCCAGGAGGCAAAGAATAGCATATCAAAGCTGAAATAAAGATTTAGATGCATCCCACATCCCCTGAGTCAGAGAGAATATGGAAAGGGGATGCACTATAAAAACCAAGGTCCAACAAGAAGAAAAGCATACCTTTCTCGGCCTTTTGGCTAAGATCAAGTGTAGTATCTGTTCTTATCAGTTTAATATCTGATATATGGACCATCGGTCCATTCGATATTAATCTTATTTTTTATGGGGAAAGATTCATCACAATAGCTTGCTGTTGGGATCTTTGAGTGTCGCCTTGGTTTTGCACTATTGCTAAGGCTGGCGCACCCCTCCAATTCTAGTTATTAAAAGTCATTCCATGGTTCAGGTTCCAACTGTGTTTAACTTGGTTGTTAACAGCTATAAAAACTTCTCATTCTTGTCTGAACCAAACAGCCCTCAGTTAAAATGAAAATAACAGTAGCACATAATGTTCTTTCTTCTCAAAATTTTGCTTCTAGATTAGATATAAGATACCCACAAAGTCCTAGAAAGGGGGGTTGTAGAGGGTATGATATTAAGCCCTTCATATATATATAGGAATCGGATGTAGTCTACCATTAAAAGGGACTGAAATAATATGTAGAAAAACAAGCTTTTATTATAAACTAGAAGGGTACTCGCACAATGCAGCATTCTGAGAAAAGGTTATGTGACATTCTCGATCCTAACCAAACTGAACCTTTTCACTGATTTGCAGGATCTTTTTCGTTTAATAGGTGTTGAATGAATATTTCTAGCCATCACATGAAATTTAGTAGCTTATTGTGGTATCTGATCATTTACACCAATTTATCATACAACAAGGTAAAAGAACACCGGAACAAGCTAATAACTACAGTTTGACCCGTTTAACAAATGCTTATTTGTAAACAGCCTCATGCCTCCCAAATCCTGGATTAATTAAGTTCAAGTATCTATATCTATACTATATTATAAAATATTTGACAAAAACTCTTAAAAACCATTCTTTATGCATGAAGTACTGTTTATTAATGCATATTACTTAAAATTTAAGATTACAAGTAAATTGTGCGTAAGTACAACTTATTAAAGCTCCATTTTTGAATTCATATAACTAACTGCATATAAACATAATCAAATTCCAGATAAATATCATATTTTAAATATAAATTTTTTAATATATAATTAGGATAATCATTAAGTTCTAACAGAATTCTTAATTATTATTCTTATAAAAATCATACTATTAAATCAAAAATAAATTACTTTGTTATTAAATCTAAACTAAATTATAATAAAAAAATTGAATTAAAGAAAATGCACAAAAAACAACTTTTAAATAGTTAATTTGATATTAATATTGATATATTTATTTTCGAAATTTTATGATATCTTTAAATTTATATTTTATTCAAAAATAAAAACATTATCCCTTTCTGTCCCTTGGCGGTTACTTAAAGAAGCCATCCTGGTAAGATTCAATCTTTCGAAGAGAGGGATTCCGGTACAATCTTTGGAGTGTATTTTGTGTGGTAAAGGTGTTAAAACAATGGATCATTGCTTCTTTTCTTGTCCGGTGGCGAGCATTCTTTGGAGAAAAATTTGGACCTGGTGGGATCTAAAAGCTCCGCATTTATCCTTGTTGACTGATTTTAAATGGCTTGTTCATCATATAGGAGCTCATCGCAAGGTTGGGATGATTTTCTTATCAGTGTGCGCTTGTGGCTCTTTGGCAACTTTGGAGGTGGCGAAATGAAATTCTATATGCTAAGGACGGTTCGTCAATCAAGAAGAAAGGTGAAGACCCATTCCCTTGTGTTCAGAACTTATCTAAATAATGGATGGGTAATAGGAACCGTAAGCTTCTTCTCAATTGGGATACTTGGTCTACCTCTCCTTATCTTATGTAGTCTCTTGATTTGTCGGGGTTGCATCTGCCTTTTATTTGGGGCAGCTCGGTTTTTTATTTTCTTTGTTCTTGATTGTATGTTGGTTTCTTTGTATCTCATGGAGTCTAGCTTCTTGATGGATCTTGTCTTCTTAATAAATTGGTTGGCTTGGTGAGGGTGATAGTCGTGCCGAAGTTCTTCTCATTGTCCTTTTTTTGCCTTTCAAAAAAAAAAAACATTATCCCTTTCTCAAAAACACATAAAAACCGTATTATAACGTCACCAGATAAGGAATAAAACGAAACATTAAAATCGAGATATATCTCGCTGCATTGTACGAGTACTATTCTAGCTTATAATAAAAGCTTGTTTTTCTACATATTATTTCAGTCCCTTTTAATGGTAGAGACTACATCCGATTCCTATATTATATGAAAGGGCTTAATATCTTACCCACTACAACCCCCCTTTCTAGGACTATGTGGGTATCTATATTTATATTATATCTAATCTAGAAGCAAAATTTTGAGAAGAAAGAACATTATGTGCTACTGTTATTTTCATTTTCACTTGACTGAGGGCTGTTTGGTTCAGACAAGAATGAGAAGTTTTTATAGCTGTTAACAACCAAAGTTAAACACAGTTGGAACCTGAACCATAGAATGACTTTTAATAACTAGAATTGTAGGGGTGCGCCAGCCTTAGCAGTAGTGCAAAACCAAGGCGACACTCAAAGACCCCAACAGCAAGCTATTGTGATGAATCTTTCCCCATAAAAAATAAGATTAATATCGAATGGACCGATGGTCCATATATCAGATATTAAACTGATAAGAACAGATACTACACTTGATCTTAGCCAAAAGGCCGAGAAAGGTATGCTTTTCTTCTTCTTGGGCCTTGCTTTTTATGATGCATCCTCTCTCCTTTGTATCTTTCATTCAACCGATGTGGGACGCTCAGCTACTCTGTTTTACATCCGTTGAAAGCTCATCACTCTTTCAAATCAAAAAGGGAACCACAGAAATTCATCACAGCTAAGCAAAAGCACAAGCACGTGTTTCTTTGAGAAATCTTCACTACGGGTTTTCCCCATATTATGGGGTTTGTTCATGGGCAAGTACCATCTGTTGAGCCAAGTATTTCAAGTCATGAGGACCCAACAAAAAGATTTATCAAGTGAAAGTAGGGTAGTAGGTGGCATCGAATATCATTTACTATAGTTTATCACAAGTGAATCAAGATCTCGTGTAAAATATCAAACCGATAAAGACAATTGGTATACTTCAACTCAACACTGAAAGGCTGAGAAAGGTCTGAGTTTTGCCTTCTTGGTCCTCACTTTTTATAGGCTCATATGAAACCATTTCGTTCAAACTTTCTTGGCCAATATCGTGCAGCTTCAATTTTTAACAGCATCTTTATTGAAAATTTATTGCATGGTTTGTCGCGACTGAGATTTATTTTGATCGTTTGTTGATATGACCGTTGGTTAGTAGCAATTTGTAAACATGGACAGTAGCATGCAAGAAGGATGCTGATAGAGAAGATAGTAGCCATGGCAACAAACAGCTATAAAGAAAATGAGAAAATGGTCTTCCAAAGGGACCAAAATGGCAAAAAGTTTTAAAAGTTCAAAAATTCCAAAGATTCGACAAGCCCAAAAGGACAATATTTGTAATCAACTCTTGCTTTGATTTGGAACTGAAATACCCCTCTATTATGGTCTTTGTTCATGAGCAAATACCAGCTGTTGAGCCAAGCATTCGAAGCCAAATCCAATTCAATGAAGATTGAAGACCCAACAAGTGAAAGTAGGGTGCATCCGATTGATCATTTACTATAGTTTATCATACAACAAATATCACCAAAAATGTAAACATAATGTTTGATTTGGTGGTTAGCTCACAGTAAACACGACTTAAACCCCTTTTCTAGTTCCTGGGCGTCTAAATTCTTCCCTATGAACACAATCTTGTTCACCCTTGGTTCGTCAGGGTTCCACAGCCGATCTGGTGAGCCTTGAAATATGTCATGTACTCCCTGTTTAATAACCCACAAATACAACTTTAGGGAAATGTTTTGGGAGAAAATAAAAGATATGGCGGTGGAAATCAAGTTGTTCGTACAAATTATATTTGTCATAAATTAAATTGAAAACAGTCCCACCCGACACAATCAAGATTGATAGTTTTAGATGTGATATAAGCCAAAATTATATCGTAGATGCGATTCTATCGGGGAACAATCACCTGGAAGACAAATCTCTCATTCATCCCATCAATGGATAGAAGCCCCTTCATGCGATATATATCCTCACTCCTATCCATTAATAATGTGCCAAGCCAAAAGTTAGCCTGCATAACACAACTCATCAGTCTATCAATGTGCTTAAAAACTTACTCGACACCGTTATACATCAAACAAGAGTGCAAATTATATGAAAGAACCACATTACCCACCTTTTCAAGATCTAAGCATCCTTCACAAACTATGCTGACTGATGACACGCCAGGGTCATGAGTGTGATCATGATGTTCTGGGAAAAGCCAAGAAATATAACTCATTATCAAATCGGCTTTCAAGCCATTGACTGTACTTATCAGAAAATGACAATTGTTGACTATTTTACATGCTTCTTAATCCTACAAGTTTCTTAGGTTAGAACAGAGTAGTTTACCTTGTCCCTGGGTATTGAAAGAATATGAAGTGATGATGAAAACAGTATATGTTTAAGATATGAGTTGAGTGTCCACGGAAGTGGTTTCGTGATTGGGGAGCGTACCCATTTGCAGATAGAGAAAATCTACTCTGGCAATTAACGTTGCCATGAAAATTAACCTTTTCTTTTCTTTTTCTGAGAGAATGTCATTAAGATGGAAATAATTTGAACTAATACAAGTGTTTGTTCCATAGATTTTCCCTTGAAGAAAAGGATCCCTCCCACACTTGCACAACATACTTGCATTAGAAATCATGTGGGGTGTAAATAAATGCATAGATAAAATTAAGTTGAGTTACCGTGTTGGTGGTCGTGGTCATGGTCATGATGGTGGTGCTCGTGGGCATGATCATGACTATGTTCATGGTCATGATCGTGCCCATGGTTGTGATGGTGTTCATCGTCCTTTGAAGCTTCATTCTCAATAGCAGCATCGATTCTAGCACATTAAACCAATCATGAGGTAGAATTAGAACATATCCACTCATGCAGCAAAGCAAGGACCATCAACTATAATAATTCTTTTACAACTTTAGGTCCATGTTTAAGAAATATGCAGGAATAATTTTGAGCCAAGGTTAGAGAAAACTAAAGACATCTTCAGAAATAATTATGGTTTAAAGCACTGCATTGCAGCACTATATGCAAAAAAAAATGTAGGTTGATCAATATCTTGATTTGATCAAATCATGTCTCACATCAAATTCACCAACCATTACCTCAACGAAATGCATCAAAATTGTTGAAAACGAAAAACTAGATAGACAATTCAAGGATGAGAGAAGTACATACACCTTCCTACATGCAATTGTGCATACACAACAGAAATTAAAAGAGAAATAACCTCTCTAAATCAAAACCCCCAATTCCGAGAACATAATCCAAATCCACTTTCCCAAATTCAGTGCGTTTTAAGTCAGCCATGCGGTTTATGCTCTGTATTTCAGTGTCGTTGAGGTAGAAGATTAGCATGCAAAATAAATCAATACAAAGGGATAGATTCAACCAGCTAAATAAGTGACAATGTACCTTTATCCGCTGAATCAAAGCAGCAACTTCTCCATTTCCTACAAGATCGGTCTAAAAGCAAAACATTAAAAGGCTTCAGTTGACTATGGAGTGATAGATGCCTCATTAACAACATTATGATATGATCATATGATAACCAATTTGAGAGGTCAAAACTCCACTAATCAATAGACAAAGATGCTCAAGTCACCAGAAAGCTTTAAACTTATTTTGGACAACACCACATCAAAGTATCAACCCTTGTAAGAATTTAACGATTGAAACCAAAAAGTGAACAACTTGGTGGATTGATGACTTCATATGGTCAATAACTTATGATAGTATCGGCTGCGGTAAATCCATCTGTATCATGCGAGTAACATATGTTCAACTCAAAAAAACAGGTGCTGCTTTACAGATTTTTTACTTGAAATATAAACACAAGTTCTCAGATATTTATTGGACAACAATGGAAAAGATAAAGAGACGGTAACATATACCTTATTGACTATTATACGATCGGCATATGCAATTTGCTCTACTGCCTCATTGACAACTCCTTTTGGCTTAACATCATCAAGATGAATATTAGCATGCTTAGCATCTACTAAAGTGACAACACCATCCAGCTTGACATCATTAAAAATCTGATCCTCGGCATAAAATGTTTGTATAATTGGTGCTGGATTTGCCAGCCCTGAAAAAAATAAGTAAACAGTTCAAGCCTATCAAATATTGTGCTGAAACTTACAGATAAAGAATCCACAAAGCATGTCCACGATTAAATAAACTCTAAATTAGGTTTTAAATCACCATTCCGCACCTGTAGTCTCTATGACAATATGGTCAAATTTCCCTTTCTTTTTGTTCACCAACTCTCCTATCATTCTAACAAGATCACCCCTGACTGTGCAGCATAAACAACCATTATTAAGCATGATAATGTCCTCCACTCCAGCAGCTTTTGCAGCAACTAAGGACCCATCGATGTCCACCTCCCCATACTGCAAATGTAATAAAAAAAATCAATTCCTAACACGAAGCCATGGACACATAACTACGAGCTGTAAACTTATAAACCATTTCAAAAAAAAACTAAACAGAGAGTCAAAATATACAGAACTAATTCACCCACGATACTCTACAACATTGTATGCAATCAAAGAAGAATATGAAACTACCTCATTCTCAATAACTGCAATCCGTTTACCATGGTCAGCTGTGAGTATATGGTTCAATAATGTTGTCTGTTCAAAAGACATGAGGAAGTATCATTAGCTACAAGTGTCAATTTTTGTGAAACCAAGGCTTAACCTAACTTTACTCCAAGCCAATAAAATCCAACATATTATAAAACTTGTGTTACAAATTCATACACTGTACAGCATCAACGTCACACAAACTAATCATAGATAAGAGTAATGATGACCTTTCCGGAACCTAAGAAACCGGTAATGATCGTCGCCGGAATTCTATCGTCAGGAGGAATCTTAGTCAACACATCAGAATCTTCGTCCTGCTGTGTCGGCGTCGCCGTTGCAGCAACAGATAAGCTGCGTGAGAATCTCCTTGCTCTGGACAAACTATAGGCAGCGAGTGGTGAATGGATGGAGCATGAGGTTGTTCCGAACCTACGATGGCGGAAAGTGAGATTTCTCCACAGACGAGGGCAATAGTTGCCAGTGAGTGAAGTTTTCTGAAGCTTAGCCAGTCCAAGAAAGGTCGTCGTCAAGTTCATGGAAGTCGACGCCATGGCCGCCGGTGTGGTAATTGAAGCTACTGGATTATGGGGTTTATGGAAGTAGTTCTCGCAGTCGATAGGGCAATTTAGGGCTTATCCTGTATATGCGCTCGTGTGGGCGCGGTGGATCATGCCTCCAAGCGTGTGTATGACGGTGTGACCCATCCAATTTCCCGTTTATGGGTTATTTTTTTTATACAAATTTAATTGAAATCTCATTTAAAAAAAACATCTTTGTAGGACAGTTCAATACAAAGAATATAGAAAAACAACAATAAGATACACTTAAGAAAGGCTAAAGACGTTAGCCGACACCTAAAAAACAACCAAACAGCACAAAACAAGGTAGAAAGCCAAGGAACTGTACAAAATCGAAAGGCTGAGAGGTAGACTCGAAACGAAGGGGAACGAAGAAACCATCGAATATAAAATGTAACCTTTGAATATTTAACTGAAGATCATTGTTTTAATCATGAAACGGGTATTGATGTGCCAGGTGGAAGAACGTATGTTAAGCTGTTAATATAATAAAAAATTATTTGTAGTCAAGTCATTAAAATTGGCAGGCAAAACTCTTGAATTGCATGTTGGTTTTCTTTTTATAGAATTAAGAGAATCAAGTGACGTAATAATTATGTATCATTTTTTATTTTGTGAACGGATATGGTTAGATAATTTAATCTCTTTTGTGAATTGCATGTCGCTCTCGGTGCTTTTTTTGTGACAAGAGGGGGCTCTTACTTCTTTCATCTCTCTTCATATACCGACCCTCAAGTTAGTTCCCACTGCATTGTGCTCAAACAGTTGAGTGGTCACCGGCCCTTCTGTTGTAATTCAATAGTTAAACGTCCAATGTTATCAATCTAAAAAATGATTTACGTTTATTTATTCATGTGAATAGGTCGAACAAAATAACCATTTTCTATGATCTTCAATTTATAGAAACTCTAGTCTTAAAACTATAAGTCACTCATTTTCCCACAAAGTAAAACTTGACTCGTCAACGAGATGAAGGTAATAATCAACAATAAGCGAATTACGTCACTATGTAATTTATGTTGCTTACAAGTTATGGAAAAGAAAAGTTTGTGGTATATCGATCTGACAACCATCATAGGAAAAGTAAGTCCTGGTGTCATGGGGTAGGATGGGGGGGGGGGAATGAATTTGAACCTGATATATTTTTGTTAAAACTTCACTTGAACATTTGTGAACCAATAACTCATGAGTCCACCGACCTACATATGTGTGTGGTTATGTTTATTAATGATTGTTCATGAAGTTTTGGTTATATTTTCTCACGGAAAGTTGAAAACGCTTGATACTTTCGAAAAGGTAGCATCTAAAAGAGAGACAATTTTGGTGATACGATAGGAGAATTTAGCTCTAGGAAGTTCAAATAACTTTGTGAAATGCAAGACATGAAAAGGCAACTCATGCAACATATTCTCCACATACTAATAGGCCTTTGGCCTAGCGGTATGTGAGTCTTTTGCTTCTTAGGAGGTCAAGGGTTCAAATCTTACCAAATTTGAGGAGGGTATGTGAGTTTATTTGCCGTATATAAATATTATGTACTTCAAAAAACATACTCTCCACATGAAAATCGGATGACAAGATGGAAAAATGAAATCATGATGAATATGGTGTGTGATGTGCTAAGATTTATTAGGCCAAGTCAACTCATAGATTCACTCAAGTCTCGAATAGGAGTCCAACATATGTTCTACAAAAACGAACACATGAGGAAGTTTGAAATAGGAGAAAACCATGTCCGTGCCATTTTTAGAGTATTGGTTGCATTGCACATGCTCATGTGCATGAGGAACCCATAAAAGGTTGGATAACGTAAGTGTAATTGTAATGTTTTTTTTAGTACAAGATAACTCGAAGACTTACAGGTTATACAATCCATCGGACGACAAGATCATTATAAGCAGATGTTTTATATTTGAAGAAGATGCATAATGGGAATGGCCTCACAATTCCACACACGAAAAAAGTCTATTGGCTTGTACCATACAATAGCTAACGATGAAGATATGAGCAATAAAATCAGTGATTATGATCAAAGTAGGGAGCAAGGATAAAGAGAAAGACGATGTTCCTGAATCAAGAACTATAAGGGGGTGTTTGGTTCATAGATTTTGATGGAATTGGAAGGAACTGAAATGGATAATTCATTTGACCAAATTCCAAGTTATTTGTTTGGTTCACATCACGAAAATGATGGAATCATTTGAATTCCATTGAATTCCTTAAATTAAAGAATTCAACATTTCATAGGATATCCCACAAAATTCAATTCCATCCAACCAAACTCAACCAAAAAGTGTGGTCAAATTCCATTTCAGTTCATTCAAAGTCAAATTTTTTTGATGGATTCAATCCCACCAAATTCCATTTTGCAAACCAAACGCCCTCTAAGAGGCGCTTGGTTCATTGAACTCGAGGGATTTCAAGGTAATAGCAATGTTTTAATCATTGACCAAATTCTAATTCTTATTTTTAGTTCACACATGGAAAATGTAGGAACTTTTAAAATTATGATTGAATTATTTAGATTAAAGATTTCACCGTTTAACAATTTCATTCCAATTCCAGTCAATCAAACACATGGTTAAATTCCATTTATATTTCCTCAAAGTCAAATTCCTTTGATAAATTTCAGTTATATTGAATTCCATTATGCTGACCAAACGCCCCTAATGGCATGAAATCATCCGACATGGATAAAGGATTATAAGACGAAAGGTTGTCCAAAGACGAAGTATCCCAAATGATTAGACGATGGTACATATAAATCGAACCAAATACTGCACTTAGGCCTTTTTTGTTAAAAAAAAAATCTCTTATCAGCCTCTTACGTTTGACTTATTAAGAGATAAGGTCATTCAAATTGTTTTTTCCAATTTTTCAAAGACACTTACGTGTATTATCATCTTATCTGGTAAGAGGTAAACTAACCTCAACTATTGTTGACTCAACATTGGGTTCACACACAGTTCATATACAATAAGACAATAGCAAGAGTTAGTATGAATGATCTTTCTTTATGTCCACAAAAGGGAAGCTTCAGATGGACAAGGGGTCTAGGAAAAACGTTTAACCTCATTTCCGTTTTGATAAAGAATACTAACAATGATATTCAGATTTCAGACTTCAATACCAATTATTAAAAACTAGAATAGTACTCGCGCAATGCAAAGAGACACATATCGATTTTAATGTTCTATTTTATTATTTGTCTCTGTCGATGTTATAATATGATTTTATGTGTTTTTAAGAAAACAATAATGATTTTATTTCTCAATAAAATATAAATTTGAAGATATCATAAAAATTTGAAAAAATATATATCAATGTTAATGTCAAATCAACTATTTAAAAGTTTTTGTTTTTTATGTAATTTATTTTTTTATTATAATTTAATTTAAGTTTAATAACGAAATAATTTAATTTTGGTTTAATAATATAACATTTTATAAATATAATAATTATCCTAATTATATTTTTAGATTTTTTATATTTAAAATGAGATGTTTATTCTGTATTTGATTATGTTTATCTGCAGTTAGTTACACAAATTCAGATATTGAGCTTTAATAAGTTGTACTTACGCACAATGTACTTGCAATCTTGAGTTTTAAGTAATATGCATTATTAAACAGTACTTTATACATAAAAAATGATTTTTAAAAATTTTTGTCAAATATTTTATAATATAATATAGATGAAACAAAACTTAAGACTTTTAACAACTTTTAAAAAATAAACGTCACCTTGTAAAATGAAATGTAACATACCGTCACAATTAAAATTTTTTTATGGTTGGTGAACTTTGCAATCAAAGGGGGAAAAAATAGATATAAGTGTTTAGTTTGCGTAGATACGTAAACAAAGAGGGTGGGCCCCACAACCGGAATACGGTGAAAGGCAAAGGATAAAGCAAAGCCGAACAGAATCCCCACAAATGGGACCTACCCTCCCGTCCCTTTCTCTCTCAGCTGAAACAACCAATTCCCGATCTCCACGCTTCCTAGCTCCTATACTGACTCGTCAGCACTCCCTCCATCTCCACCTCACCTCTGCCATTTTGCTTCCCTTTTTCTTCTTCTCTCACCGGAACCCTCTCAAAGTGATCGTCAAAAAGTAACGATCGAACGTTCCTTCTTCATCAGATTCATCGTCTAATCGTTCATTTCGTTAAAGCCTGCTCCTTTTTTTGTTTGTTTTCATTTTGTCAGTTTATTTTTTGGTACGAATTTGTTTCTATGATTTTGGTTCTCAAAGTCTCATGATCTTGTTAGAGTTGGTAGTTACCTATTAATGGTAGTTCTCATTTGTATGATGATGATGGTTATATTTCTTGCTGATAGTTTTTTGAATATATGTTTGGTTTTTAGGGCTTTCTTTGGTGTGTTGTTAAGAATCAGGACCTGTTTTCTGGAGTAGTAGTCTGGTTTCTGAAACTTGAGAAATGAAAAGATAAATGATATATGTTGACGTGATGTGATTTGTGAACATTGTGTTAGTTTTACACTAAAAGGGACTCTTTTGTGGACACAATTTTGTGTTGCAGTTGGAACTGAATTGTGGATGGTATCAATTGAATCTGTAGTAAAAGTTCTCTATATTGCTTTCCAAACCAAGTTCATCTGTACTTGTAGCTTTAATGTGTTTTATCCGGTGCATATACCATGATCTTTCTTGTTTCAGTATAATCATACGTAAGAAACATGAAACTAAAATTAAAACACTATTTCTTACCATCATGTTCTGGAAAATTGTGACCGCAAGAAATCAACCCTGGTAAACTAAGTGTTCACAATTGTGGTGTACGGCTGGAATCTAACCCGGCCGATGGGATATTCCATCGCATCCCCCAGAACCTTGTACACTTGACAGTTTACATTTTAAACTAGAAATCTAACCTTCTGTGTGACATATTGGAAAGGAAACGATCTCCTGTTTCAGGAATGAAGGGGTTATTACCTGGATATTTCATTATAGACAGAGGATTACCTCATCTCAGTTATGAGGCAACTTTTGCTTGTTGAACTTCATTTTTTACCCCCTCACACCATTCCATGCCAAATTGTGCATCCGTTGACTCCTTCATGACTTTTTAACCACTCATCCTTTCTGCACAAAGGACCTTCATCATACCTTTCACTGCAAACCGTATCAAACTAGCCAGCACATATATGTCACTGCTGGTGTTGGAGTCCCGCATCATTTAGTCACAGACCAACCCACCTGTATATATGTAGCCTGTAGGACTCCCCTCTGTCTGTATGAGCACTCTTTTAAAGAGAGAATCAGGGGTTTCACATGCTCTAATAGCTATATTGACAAAAGTTTTTCATTTTTAATTCAGCGCACACACTTTGAAAATTACATGGTTGCTTATTTTACTGTCATGAGATCCTTGTGCCATTGAGTTGCTATAAGATTTGTGCAAAATACTACTGGATCTTGCTATAGCAAATTTCTCCTGCATTTTGGCTTGCATATGTGATGTCAATTTCATGTTGATGCAAGGGCCATGCAGTAAATACCCATTCATCTTTTTTCTGAGTAAATATTTTTAGTAATAACGGTGCAGATTTTCAATTGCAGGTTAACATGGATTGGTGTGGCTTGCACCTAAAGGTTGAGTGAATTACATCAAGTTTGGCAGTTGGTATAGTGCCATATATTGTTTATACAGCTTCAAAGGTTGAATATCTATGGGGGGAGCTTGTTCTAGAAAACAAGGCCAACAGGTCAATGAAGAAGGTGGATATAGAGGTGTATCTAGAAGATATTCCAGAAATGGAAGCTCGAAGTGGCTGGGAGCCTCTTTTTATCGAGCAGCTGTTGACGGTAAAGAGGGAAAGGCGACATGTCCGTCCCTCCTGGAATTGTGCATTTATGAAATCTGTGAAGTATGTTATTCCTTTGAAGAGTTGACGTCAGGTCATGTTAGGATTACTTTATTCAGTGGCTAATAATTTTTGTTTTGTTGTGAACAGAAAATTGATCAATATGGTAGTTTCTCTATGCTTCCAAGAGATATTAGTCAGCAAATTTTTAATGAGCTGGTATTTTCTCAACGCCTTATTGGAACTTACCTTGAGGCTTTTCGAGACTGTGCTCTGCAGGTATGCAATAACAAGTGGCAAGACGGATTTTGTTTTTGCAAGAAAGGGTATCATATTAACTTGGTTGCATATTCATTCAAATTCCCCATTTTTGGTTTTGAAGGATATTGATTTGGGCGAATATCCTGAAGTTGATGATAGCTGGATGGAGGTCATCTTGTCGCAGGGATCATCTTTACTCTCAGCAGATCTTTCTGGCTCTGATATTACCGATCGTGCTTTGTTCCATATTAAAGACTGTGAGAACATCCAGGCCTTGAACTTCAATTTCTGTGACCAGATTTCAGACAGTGGGCTTGATAGCATTAGCGGTATTCCTTTTCTCTGATATTATAATGTTTCATCATTACACCAGACTTGATAAATCTGAACGATTCGGCTTCCTTGTTCCTTGATAAGAGTTGGTTTTTATCATGACACTTGACCTCAAAATTAGCAGTTTGAGCTGCATTGTTTTAAAGCATAAAATTTAGTCCATCTTGGTGTAAATGGTAGCATATACATCACGTGGTTTCTCTCTATCTCATATTTTGTAAATTCACACCGAATAATAGTTGGATTATCCATGTACAACTTTTCTGACTTTTTCTTTCAGGTCTTTCAAACTTAACAACTTTGAGTTTCAAAAGAAACAACAACATTACTGCCGAAGGAATGAGTGCACTTTCTGGTTTAGTCAACTTGTTAAAGTTGGACCTGGAAAGATGTCCAGGGATCCATGGTGGTCTTGTGCACCTAAGAGGTATGCTCTCTTCATGTAGATTTTGAGAGATGAGTTGTCATTGTTATATGTAATTGTGAGATTAGCAAGAGTCAAGAGGCCCTTCTCACGACATATGGGCTTTCTTTATTATAGTTGTAATTGGCAAGTGAAAAAATATAAGTTTCTCTGCCAGTACTCAAGTCATGATCTCGATCACCCATCATTAGAGATGAATGTGAGTTAAAATGGTCCATATTCCAGATAATTAATTTTCTATTTTTTGAACAGGGAGGCAAAATATTTATCTAACATAGCAATGATGTTGATGATATTGATCAACAACAAATTTTTTTATATGAATCTTGAGTTGAACATCCTGTGATATTTAGCAGAAAACTATGTTGCATACTTCCTTCAACATACAACATACGAGATTTGTGGGCTGTAGCTTTTCTTTTGTGCTTGATTCAAACATCGGATATCAAGAAGTCAGAATGTTTCAGATGTTTCTAAAAATTGTCTTCTTAATTGGCTCATACTTTTTTGAAATTTTATCAACTCACAGGAAATCGACACAAGGTGATATTAAGCCTGACTACAAAGATCATCAAATGGGGTCCAAAATTTTTGCTCGAGGAAAATGCTAGGAATTGATTAAAATAAACATGACAATAGACTATAGGAAGAAATACTTGAAAAATTATATGTACTGGGTGAAATCTATATGCTATCAGATGTGCAGCAAAGACTAATTTTGTATTTTAAAGTAGTTGGGGAGTAGATAGTAGATTATTACATAAACAATACAAAGTTCTCATATACCACGTCTAGTTTGTCTGGCCTCTAGCTGTCATGATTCATGCACCGTAACCATTAATCCATCCAAGTCCGTGATTTTCCATGTAATGATCATTCTTCAGCAGGCAAATTGTATGGGAAGGCTGATATTGAGTAAACAAGGGAATGGGGTACGAGAGATAGAGTAAGAAGCAAAGTATGATAAAGAAATGCAGTCAAGGATTAGGCTTCAGTTTTGAAATAGATGTTTAGTTTTCTAGCCAGTCTGATATTCTGCAATTAAGTTGATTAACTTGACTCCAGCCTAGTACCTATCTACTTTTAAAATCCATGTTGATTTACCATTAGATCTAATTTGAATGACAACTAACATTTGTAGGAGACACACCTCAACCATTTAAGTACCTCGATGATGAAAAGCATATCAGTATTGCTCTTCTGTGTGTGTGTATATATATTCATTAACTGTGCAATAAGGTAACCCCATATTCCCAAAAACTTCTCTATTTGGCAGGTCTCTCGAAACTGGAGGCACTTAATCTTAACTGTTGCAATTGCATTACTGATGCTGATATGGAGCCTCTCTCAGGTAACTTGCCAATTAAACTCTATGCTCCAAGATAAATGTGAAGGAGTGATAAGGTATCTCTTAGAAAGGATTTGACATAAGCCACCATGTAGTTAATAGGTTTTAGATTTTCTGCCATTTTTGCTATCAACTTTTTAAAGTTTTATATGATATTATATAATATCTTATCACAACTTGTTATGCACCTTTCAAATGAATCACTTCCTGTTATGCTGATGATTCATACCCTCTTATGTTCCAGAGCTAACAAACTTGAAAGAGTTGCAAGTTTCCTCCAGCAAGGTGACAGATTGTGGTGTCGCATTTTTGAAAGGTCACTGCAGTTTGACATCTCTATTTACATTTTGTACTGTTGTTTAGTAGGGTAACTTGCATTTGTGGGTCCCAAAAATAGAAATCAAGTATCCATGTAAAGCCTTATCTGGTTCCTGATGTTGACATTGATACTCTCCTGATCAAATTTGTAGTGTTGATTTAACTGCAATTGGTATGGAACCTTGCAAGTTTTTGATACCATTACAGCGCCTTATAAATTATACCCCACAAACTGAGACCTATTCCACATTTAGTTAATTTTGAAATAATGTCGTATCCTTTTGGGACCAAGCTTTTCCTTCTTTCTTTTTTTCATTTTATTTCTGAAAAATGAGTTGAGAGTAATGGGTTCAAGGAAGATTAGTTCAGCATCAAGATTTGCTGTTTTATAGATGATATAGGTGTAAGCCTCTATTTTTTTCATTGCTTTTGCATCATGTGGTTATTTATTTGCTGATTTAACATTTAAAAAAGTCTACCATGATATCACGAAAATTCTTCTTTTTCGTTTCTCTTCCTCTAATAGCATATGCAGTTATGCACACACGGTATCAGATGAAAACCAAACAACTTTGAGGTTGTTGAATGCATTTGAGGCCTTCATCATTACAACGATAAATGGCTCAACCTTGAATGGGTTGAACATTTAGGTGGCTTTAACAGAACACATCAATCAGTATAAGATTTAGTTTTCGCAGTTGATGGTTTTCGAGTACTTATCGAGTAACAAACTAATGTTTTCTTTATCGACCGTATGGAAGTCTATATCAGTTAGATTCAGGATGTACTTTTTTTAGAATATTATTTAGTTGGAGAAACCTTAGGGATAGTTTTGCTGTGTATAGACCTCTTTTCATGCCCGCTTTTTGCTTTTGGTTGTAGAAACAGCAGAAAGAGCTGGTAGGTTGATGCTCTTCGACTTTCTTATTCCTTTTACCTCCTAAGTGGAAGAATGCATGATAGATATATGCTAGGCATCTTTCTTGAATATTCATTTGGACTTTTGCGTTGTTTTACATGGATTTAATATTTATCTTGCATCTAAATTAATATTTGCTATTTAAGTGTAAGACCTTAGTAATTGAATATTTTAGTCACTGGAGTGTTCAAGTGCAATCTTTTCCATGTAGATCAGTTCCTAAACCTATATTTGCACTTTGCAGGATTACACAAGCTTGCATTGCTGAATATGGAGCGATGCCCTGTTACTGCAGCATGCTTGGATTCACTTTCAGGTCCATAAGAATACGCTGCTTTAGTATGATGTTGTATATATATGCATCCTGCATGTTCTAACATCTAATACTGTAGTTGTTAAATGCTGGTGAACCTAAGATATGTTGCTACATTTGTGGAAAGAGATAATGTTAGTGTGAAGTCTGTGGGAGCTTAAGTAGGACAGATACAAATACAAATGGACGAACATGTTTTCACACCATTGCAGTTTCAGAGAGATTTTTAGTGGAAAAAACAAAAGGAGGTGTCGAGGGGTGTTAGTGAAAGAGGTAGGGAGCGCGTCTATGTGTGAGAGAGAGAGGAGGGGTGTTGATTATGGTCCCACAAAATTCTTTGGTTTGTTATTAATAAACGGTAAAATTTTAGACATTGGACTATATTCAAAAACTTCTCTTCAACCAAGTAACCAACCAAATGTTGTTCTTTAATGGGATGGAGGGAGGAGTACATGCTTGTATATTTCTAATTCAGTTGAAGGAATGTGATACTGCTTGAATGGTATCTTTATCAGTTGTTAGTTCCTGATAAAGTATGGGGTCAATGGAAGTGTTTCTTAAGGTAAACAAACTCACATTGATACTAAAGGCATAGTATTCTTGTTATTTTTCTTAATCTCAGCATGTCAACTCTTTTGTTTTATGCAGCTATTATGGGTCTGCTTTATTTGAACTTAAGCAGATGTAAGCTAACTGGTAATGGATGTGATAAATTTTCAAGTAAGTTTTCTATCTTTACTACACCTTTGTGTTGTGCTTCATGCTAAGGTGCTCCAGAAAATGTTTGTAAATAACTTTGGCTTCCTTGGTGCTTTCAGGGCTAAAGGCTTTGAAAGTACTCAATTTGGGATTCAACGATGTTTCAGATGCTGTTTTGGTACATCTAAATGGTGGTTCCTGTCCTAAATCATCTTTTATCTTTATTTATATATTGCACTTTCTCCTGAGAACTTCCTTCTTTCCACTTGTATTGGAAGAGCCTCAGCGTGCTACAAAGATGGATTTGTGCCCTAACAGTTGGTTACTGTTTTGTCTTCAAGAAGGGGAAAGTGTAAACACAACTTTGAGATAATTTGGGTCCTCTAAATAACTTCTTTCTTGGAAAAAAGTTGCAAAAAACCCGCCTTTAGTTGATTGACTAAAAATAAAAAATTGAAGTTTCTTATATCTTATAATTTGAAGGTTATGCTAATATAATGTCTATGTGTCTCAATGCAGGTTTGATAAATTTAGAGAGCTTGAACCTGGATTCATGTAGAATTCGGGATGATGGACTGGTTAACTTGGCAGGTGGTTCTTTGTTAATTATCTATGTTTGCACGCCTTAGTCGCTACTGATAAAAAGTGCATGTATGTTCTTCGTTTTATTGAGAAATTTGTGTATATGAGATCTTGACAATTTCAGTTAGTTTGGGGTGGCATGGATTATTTAAATAATAAAAGTACCGAAAAAGAGTTCTAGGGATCCAAGCCCTTCGCTCTGAGGAGTTGTTAGGGTGAGCAACTGTTGTATGTTATATAGGCAGACACATCATCAATGCATTGGTTTCTGTTAGTGTCTACAACAAAGAACCATTATCTTTCCTGCTTCAGTTTTATTATAGAACTCAAAGTTTGTATCTTGCATAGCTGCAAAAGAGTTGGTAAAGATCCTACAAAAGCTTCAAATAGGAAGTATCAGAAAGTTTGGAGTCTACAAGCAACTCATATTGTTATGTACCAAAAACCACGAATGGCTTGTTTCAGTTCTTTTGTATAAGTTGAGCTTATTCTCTTTGAGGCATTTTTTTTCTTGAGGTTTCTTCCTTCACTGATGGTTGGATAATCTGATGATGTATTAGTTTCTGAATCAGTCTTCTTATTTTCATTGTTACATTTATGTTGTTGCATAGAGATGCTGATGCATATATTTGTGATTGGTGTGAATACTAATAGGCCTTCATCGCTTGAAATGTTTGGAGTTGTCTGATACAGAAATTGGAAGCAACGGTCTTCGTCATCTCTCAGGTTAGACATCTTTTCACATTCATATCGAACAAAATAGAACACATGTTGAATACTAATATTATCCAAAATTTTCAGATGTAATTGATTAATATTTATTATTGTAAAGTGACCAAGATATGACAATGGGGAATGTTTTCATTAAAATTTGGTGAAATTTAGCAACTTTCAAATGAGAAACACGTGGATCATGATACATATTTATCAATTTGGTTATGAGGATTTGATTCATCCATTAATAAAATATGTTCATGTTCTTGATCACTATGCTGGATGGTATTTTAACTGTTTTTGCAGGATTGGTGAATCTCAAAAGTTTAAATCTCTCGTTCACTGTTATCACTGATGGAGGTTTAGGAAATTTGTCCGGATTGTCAACTCTTAGATCACTTAATTTGGATGTTCGCCAAATTACAGATACTGGACTTGCAGCTCTTACAAGTAAGGACACCGACTTACCACCATAAGGAAATACTTTGATGCACTGAGATTACTTGTATGCACGTGGGCATACTGTACAGGTTATTAGGGTGTTCCTTAGTTTTTCATTGTCTGGGGTTTTCCCGTAAACCTACCCCTCCCTCTCTCTCTCTCTCTCTCTCTCTATATATATATATATATATATATATATATATGCATGGAAAATTAAATTAAAGTCTCACATGCTGTTCACCTTTGGTGAGGCTTGAACCCCTTACCTTGGGAAAGTGGAGTTACTGGGTACCGCCGGGCCAAATGCCTTTTGGAAAACACACTTGATTCTTGTTGTAGGATATGAATGTAGATTATATGTCTTCACTTCTCTTACATTTCTATTTCTAATATTCTAGTTTATATTTGTTGAATGCAGGTTTGACCGGATTGACTCATTTGGATCTCTTTTGTGCTAAAATAACAGATGCAGGAACAAATTATCTGCGCAGTATGCTTACACTCAACTCTAATGATAATATTCTTTAATACTTAGTAAAGAACTCATCTTTTTTGTTTGATGATTGTTAATGATCCTGGTTTTGGCTTCATTCAAAGCACTTCGTGTTTGATAGAATTCCATTCATCTTTGCTCAAATTAATCCCACAAAAACCCGATGTTTCTATGTAATCACTACTTATTCCCAGCTTTTGATGTAGAATTTACAAATCTTCAGTCTTTGGAAATCTGTGGCGGAGGATTAACTGATGCCGGTGTGACGAATATCAAGGATCTTCAGTCTCTGGTGCTTTTGAATCTATCACAAAACAACCATCTGACAGATGCATCATTGGAGTTAATTGCTGGTATTTCCTTGAAATCGATAATGCGATCTTGTTTTCAAATGGATCAACATAACTCTTGAACTTTAAATGAAACCTTTGTGGAACTGTTGGTTGATCCAACTCTGGGTCACTTTGGATGCAGGTCTGACCCAGTTGGTGTCTCTAAACTTATCGAATTCTCAAGTAACCAGTAAGGGATTGCAGCATCTAAAACCGCTGAAGAAGTTGAAATCGCTGAGCTTGGAGTCCACGAAGGTGAGTGCAAATGATATAAAGAGACTACACGAATATGACCTTCCAAATCTGGTAAGCTTTCGTCCTGAGTAGCTTTCTTGGGCATAGTGGATGGCGTTTTTTTATATAAAGCAGCTGGGGAATCGTTAGCATTTGTAAATATCGTTTTCTCCTCGTTCTGCTGGAATTGTTTCTGCATTTGAATCCTGGAGATAGAGTGAATGTTGGCGTGCAGCAGCGAGATGGCCGTGAAAGCTTTTTCTTCGATTATGATCTGAATGTAAATAAAGTTTACGTGGGTAGTGTTATCTACAATTATCAGGTGGATGATGTGCATGAAATAAATGTTCTCTTTCCAGGCTTTACTGAATAAAAGAGTTGTAAACAACATAACTATCTCTAGGATTGGGTTCACGTGAGACTAGTCTGTTTTCGTGAGATCACTTTTTTACACTTGAAACGTCACAGCAAAACATTGTAAAGGTAAAAAAAAAGTCGAACATTCACAGCAAAAACACTGTGAAAATCACCTTCTATATTATAGTTTGGTCTCACGATCCCAAGTCACAGCATCTATATTACAGGTTTGTGACTTCATCAATTTTCATTTTTGAAATGTAACGGATATTCCAAAAATAACCATAATACTTAAAAGAAAGTGTAAAATGACAGTTTTTTCATATATACACAATAATGATCGACCGATGGAATTCGTTATTGGTGATTTTTTACAAATTGTGAGGCTCTTGTGATTTCTTGAAATCTCAAACCAATGAGAGGGACGTATCGTGTCGCTGACATGGTAGTCATTTTATACAAATATAAAAGAACTTGATATTTTTCACTTTCTCTGTATATTTACGGTATTTTTGGTGAAGACCCTTTTTGGTAAGGGAACTACTGCCTATGCAAATGCCACAACAATGATAAAAGAAATGCCTCTTCTGTTTGTTTTACTATCACATTAATAAACCTTAGTAAGGAGCTATTTGGTTGGTTTTTTATCGAGTTCTATATAGAAAAAAACTGTCATTGTAGATTTATCTATCTGTATAGAGTATAGATTAATAAAGTTTTTGTTTCTGAAAGGTTTTTTAATAGATGGAAGGATTGTGTTTTTTTAATTTTAGGGGTTGAATTGAAAAAAAAAACTTGACTTTATATATATATATATATATATATATATATATATCTTTTAAAGTTTATAGAATAAACCATATTTTATACCATTAAACTCTGATTATTGATTCTTGATTCTATATATACTAGTTGTGTACCCGTGCAATGCGGCGGGAGCCATGAATTTTAACGATTTTGAAGTTCTACTGGTTTTATAAGATAAGATTTAACGATTATATAGGTTACACTTGGTTTTTACATATTAATACAATTTCAATAAATAAGAGTTATTGTTCCAATTAAAGACTATCGATGAAAAAAATTGTATGACAATTTAAAATCCAATATATTTAAAATCCAACATATTTAGACGACTCCACAAATGTGTTCGATTTACACCAAGAGCAAAGAACCAAGAAACTTGAGTTTTAAGATAAACACTTAAAACCAATAAAGAAAACTACAAATTTAATAGATGATAAGCCATGAAAAGACTAAAAAAGATGGATTTTAGAATGAAATTTCAACTGCTTACCCTCTTTCTTGTCTAAAAACTCAGATTAAGGTTGAATTAATACATGCATATATATATTTCAAAAAAACCCAAGAACATATTAATTCAGAACATATTATACAATGCAATTTGAACAGTCTAACCCCAAAATATATAGTATATATATATATAAATAAATAACTATAAAAGTATAAATTGTAAATATTAAAAATATTTTTTTACAGTATATATAATATATAATAATATAATTAAGTAAAAAACTATTCAATATTGGACTCGTTTCAAAGGTATTAACGAGACGATTATAATGATATAACTTGTTAAAATAAAAATGTATTTTTTAAAAATGTTTTAATTGATATACGATTATGTATGTTAATTTGATAAATGTTTAAAATGAAATATTTAAAAATAAAAAACGTAAAGTAAATTAATTAATTAATTATAGGGGTATAAAGTGTAAATTTAAAATTATAGTTTTAGAAAAATGGTTGCAAGAAGGTGAGTGTATGTGAGGAGTGGAGAAGGTGAAAAAGTGAGGTAAGATAGTATAAAAGGTATTTTGGTCATTTAATATTTTAAAATTTTAAAACTTTTACAAAATTTGATTAATAAGATAGTATAGATATTAAAACAATAAAAAATATTTTATTGTAATAAAACTTATCACTTGAGAAATTCAAGATTTTTTATCAGTTAGGAAAGGATAAAACGGAGTAGCGTTAAAAAAGAGGATTGTTGGTGATCCCACATCGGAGGGGAGAGAAAGAGGGGAAGGGAGGGTGTTCAATAAATAAAGAGGCTGGAGCAGTGGAAGACTTACTTACCTGGACGGGGTCTTTGGGCGATCAAGAAGGTCCATGGCCTAGGTTGGTGATCTCCATTGCACATGGAGGAGAGGCGCCCCTCTAAGATCGGCCCAAGTTGGTCGAATCTACGTCATAATTTGTGTCAGCGGGGGCCTGCGTTCGCGCGGCCTCTACCCAATTCTATAGTACGAAATTTCAAACATTCTTTTTAAAGGCATGGTACGAAATTTCAAACATTCTATTTAAAGGTTGTAATAAACTTATGAGACGATTTTGGGAGTTTTAGAAAATTTTTAATTCAAAAAATATCATGACACTTTTGAAATTATCTTGTAAACTTTTTTATAGGATACTTGTTTTATAGGACGTTTTTTCAAGCAGTTGTTAATGGGACGTTTTATATTAAAAGCGTCGTCATAAAAAACTTGTTAAAAACTTAAGATGTCAAAAAGTATCGTATAAACTTATTACAACGCCTTTAGATATGACACTTTATTTTTTGGTCCTATAAAAGAGGTCTGTTAGGACGCTTAAAAATTGAGAAGATTTTGTTGTAGTGGCAAGCCTTGGCGTCATCACAAGTTATTTAGAACCATGGATTTGACCCGATTCCAATATAAATAGGAGTGCATGTAACAACATCCCGAGACAAATCTCATGAGAAATAACTCGTATTCAACGTCATCCAACCACAACCTCGCACTCGGTTATTAAAGAACAACGGAATTTCCGGTTTTCATAACATGGAGACACTATTGACATTTACCTTGCATATCATCTCACATAACAAGTTAGATCAACTCAATTCACCACTAACTTACATATTTTCCTGCATTACAAACTGCACCAACCAAAAAAAAAATCAAGTAAATAAAAAAATCCCACAGAAAATCTAAAAATTCAAGACAAATAACAGTAGCAACATACCTAGCTACTAACTTGAAACTGCACAGTAAACAAGTGTTAAAAGTTGCTGGAAGGTCATCTCTGGGTTGGTTGTTCTGACCCTGACCCTGCAGCCAGGGATGTAGCCGCTACAGTGCTCGTCGAACCATTTTCAGCCGGTGGTGGCACCCCCCATCGGCCATCCGATTCAAGTGGCTCCAACACATGAACAATACCATCTGAAAGCCCTAATGCAAACTGATTCGGTTCTTGTGGATGAGCAGCGATCACCAACGGATGCACATTTAGATTACTGCAAGAGACACGAGCTTTTATTTTCGTCCAAAATTAAAACAAGAATTTTTTAAAAACCACTACGACAAAATCGGTTTTATAAGACGCCTAAAATGTCAAAGCGTCCTAATAAAATACTTTATAGGACTTACATTTATAAGATCAAATCAAATTGTCCCATCTAAAAGTGTTACAATAGGTTTATAAGACGCTTTTAGGCGTTTTAACAACTTTTTTAGGGCGCTTTTACAATAAAGTGTGATATTAGCTATTTTATACGACACTATTTGAAGAAGTGTCCTAGTATTTTTTTGGACGCTTAGACATAATGAGGCGTCCTATAAAGCCAATTTTGTTGTAGTGAACACACAAGATTAGGTGTTAGTTTTAATGTAGTTGTGGAGATTTTACCTTGTGAGATACGCGGTGGGATTAATGCGACAGCAAAGGCGGAGGTGAGAAGCAGTGAACACGCAGATGGTTGCATCAAAGAAACTTGCGTAAATCAGCTGACTATCACATGAAAAAGTTGCATGCGATATCGGGGCTGAAGATTCACGTTGGATCCACTTAAAAAGAAACAAAAAACCAATTAAAACCAACCCACCAAAATTCGAAAAGATTCGTCATTTTTGGCGTGATTCTGATTCAGAACAACATAATCGAAAATGGTTACCTGTTTCACGCATTCTAGTTTTGTTGTTTCATAAATAGCGAGTTGAGTCTCGTGAACAACAAGGAAATGGATCTGATCATGATGAAACTGGACACGAGTGTCAGACTGTGGCGTTGGCGTCCTCCCTGGTGGGAGTTGCACGTATCGTGCCTTTTGCTTTTCCCATCCGTCGGAACTCCATACACAGATCTAAGTAATAAACATAACATAAACGAGAGTTGAAAGAAACTCGAAAGAAAGTTTGATCTCGGTGGATTTCTATAAAGATTCGGAAACCACAATCCTTTTGTATGATTTTAATTACTAACCTGAGCATCGGCACCTGATGAGACTAGGACCTTTAGCACATGAGAAAAAGCGAGCCCCGTGATTCTTTTTGAGTGGCCTTTAAGCTTGCTTTTAACCTTCGTAAGGAAAGAAAATGGTGTACGCTCAAAGTTATTGAAGTAGTATTGTCCCACATCGACATGTTTTGAAAATTGCTATATGTGTATATATACATATATAGGGTCAGGTTCAAGGAAAAAACGCAAAAAAATGAAAATTTGAGGAACACCTTATTAACTATTCATCTGTATGGTATGCACAAGTGCATATAGGCAATTTGTTTGGTTATGCACAACATACACACATGCATAGAAAATAGGAAACATCTTCGATTACTTATACAAATGTGCATACCGTACAGATGAACGGTCATAAAGGTGTACCTCAATTTTTCAGTTTTTGGGGGTTCTCCCTTGAACCTCACTCACACACACACACACACTCTCTCTCTCTCTTTATATATATATATATATATATATATATATATGGGTGGGTGTGTGTGTGTGTGTGTGTGTGTGTGTGGGGTTTGGGCACCTTCCTCCTTTGAGCTAGCTTTTGGAGTGAGTTCTACCAAAAACCATTTATCATGGTATCAGAGCAGGCTTCTGCAAACGAACCCAAGAAGGCTACATAAAAGGTAGGCTAGACCTAACGTCCAAGCCACTCTATTTGGTCCAAACTAACTTTCGAAAAGGGGGGGGGGGAGTTCATAAACTGGTGCAAGTATATGTTGTATCTACTACCTCATCCACACGAACGTTATAAATCTGGATCGTTGAGTCATCCATGCCAATTGCTATGATATTGTTGTCTTGAGGATGGAAAGCAAGAAATGTTGCTGCTGGTGGCGGAGGCATGAATGTCGTCATCGTCTGCACTTTCCCATTACGTTACTCGATTAGACAACTCAGTTCACTGGTTAAAAATGTAAAAACCCTTTGGAGTTTTGAACCAAATATGTTTAAACGTCCTGATAGACTGCTTTACAGGAATTAAGATTATTTTAAAAGAGTTCTAAAAAACTTGCTAGAAGCCCAGATACGTCCTGCCATCCTATTGTAACAGCTTTATATGGGACGCACAATCGTAAGTCCTATAAATACCGTCTTTTAGGACATTTAGGGCTCGTTTCTTAGCATCTTAATGAGCTTAATGGGACTCCAAGCTTATTCGGTCAGCCATAAAACTCAAAGTATTTACATGGAGAAGAAAATACTACCTTGAATGTCATCATATTGAACAAGGAGATCTTTCCTCCGGATGCCGACATAACATAAGAATCATTCTTGGATAAAGCAAAGCAGGCGACCGATTCTTCAGGGTTAGTCTCGGCCATGTCATTTGTCATCAAAATCCCGCTTGATGGTTGCCATAATTGTGGCGAAACACCAGCCGTTGCCTGCATTAAGCATTGTTTTTGTGAGAACATGTACCGAAACCTCATTAAATTACTCTCCAAAAGAGCCCTCGACAAGAGAAAAAAGGTTCCAACATATAATATTCACGAGAAATGGTCCAAGACTAGCTGACCCGGGACTCTTTAACCATTTTAATTCGTAAACCAATAGGATCATTCTCACCTTGCCACTTGAGTTACGCTCGTTACGCTGCCATTTCCAAAGCAAATGAATAGCATTTGATGCTAATGCTAAAATAGCATTGCCCGAATTTGTATATATCAACCTTGATATCTGTATAATGATCAACAAATTCCCGCATGAATTTCTACACGATAGAAGGTATGAACAGAAGCACCTATACTTGTATCGTAAGATCAGCATACCTTCGTTACTCTCATGTTTTCCGGAAGCTTCAGTGACCGACACTGGGAAGCTTCGGTTATCTCAGTGAGTTTCCAAATCTTTGATTTGTCACTGGATTCGTCGGTGATCCTAGGTTTCACATCCACCAAGCTTCTGGCATCCCCGTTCTAGCATTCACCATACCATAATTACTAAATTGATCTTATGAATGAACCCGAGAACCGTAAATAGTTTAGAACCCGAGAACCAACACTAGTTTATAAGACGCCAAAAAGTGTTTATATTAACTAATCGAATCCTTTGTAGGACTTACGTTTATAGGACCAAACCTTTGTTTGTCCTATCTAAAAGTGTTGTAATAAGTTTACAGGACACTTTTGGGCGTCTTAACAAGCTTTTTAGGACACTTTTGAACAAGTGTCATACAAGAATATGTGTTTATAGAGTGTCCCTATAGAAATAGCAATAAGACACTTCTTAAGACGCTTGTTTTATAGAACATTTTTTGAAATAATGTCTTGTAAAAAGATATTTAAGACGCCCAAAAGCATCATATAAACTTATTACAACACTTTTATGTAGGACACACAATTGTTTGGTCCTATAAAGTATAAAGTAGTCTATTAGGACACTCATACATTTTTGGCGTCTTAATGCATGAATTTATTCGAAGTCATTAGCACTAACCACTCCGGAAATGGAGCCAACGGATGCAACCCTTTCCGCTAATGCAGCGGTACTAGCGGCCGCAGCAGATATTGCGTTTATGGCGGGCTACATTTGAAAAAAACATCATCAGGGAATATAACATACGATAAAAACAGTTGCCGATTATGTTTCAGTTAACCTTAAACAGCACCTTTGCGGCTTCAGGAGTTCTTGAAGCAGCACCATCAAAAGAAAGATTTTCAAAAGTGCGAAGTAATCGAAGACCATCTGAATTCGCCAAGATTTTGATATTATTATCGTTAGCCGAAACAGCCAAAAGTGCACCATCTTTGTTAAACCGGATACGTGGACTTGCCTTCATATTATGATTAAGAATGATATTAGATTGGTTATTTGATGAATTCTTGAAAGTTCTTACTTTTCGTTGTTATAAGATGAAGATATTACCGGAAGACCTCCATCAGCATCAACGCTTGTTAAAAGCTGAACATTGTCCATATCCCAGTATTTAACCGAAAAATCATCACCAGCTGCCAAAAATCGGTTTTTGGTTGTATCAAATTGCACAACACCTAAAGATCGTTTACGGAAACCCATATAGGTTCTTTTCACAGCCCCTTCACTTTCATTCCATTCTACAATGTGCGATTCACCGTCTTTGCTGGTCCCACATGAAAAAAGCCTGAAAAAACCCCCAAAAATGACCAAATAAAAAGTCGGTCACAGCTCGAAAATCTAAAAGGGATGAACAGCGAAAATGTATCAAACCTCGTCCCATCAGCACTGTATGCCATTGTTGTGCACCAGCGACCAGGAGCCTCATAATCAACTCGTGAACCCAAGTTATCATACAACCATGCTTTTATCTTGCCGTCAAGAGCAGTTGAAAATATGAACTAACAAAAGAAGAATTATAGTAGAGGAGTTTAGTCCCCCTTGAAGAAAACTTTTAGTAAGGGTCATTGGTCCAACGGTATCTGGGTTACTGGTAAATCCAAGCCTCACTGGAGGTTAAGGGTTCAAACGTCACCAAAGGTGAAGAGTGTGCGTGAGCATTTGCAATATATAAATATCATATACTTCTAAAAAAGGAAAACTTTTTTTAAGTTACCTGAATGTTTTCTTTATAGTGAGGGCATACAGAATATACAGGAGCTTCATGACCTTCAAAAGTGTACTTTTTTACACCTGTTGTAGCATCCCAAACCTATCATCAGAATCAAGAAAATCTTGATTAGAATAATTAGCGATTATTGCGTACATCTGACCATAAATACGTCATATGTATATGGTAACAAACCTTGATGGTCTTGTCGTCACCACAGGTTATCACGCAGAGTTGCTTGTTGGGATGAGAGAATGCAAGATCGTTTACTCCACCAACATGAGCATCGATCTACACAAGTAACAAGAATCATCTTACACGCGTTGGAAAATTCAGCAGTCGCCAGAAAGGAACTGTTAAAGTCCCATACCATACCGGCTAGACTTGGACCATTCTCTTAGAACCTATTTTCTCTCCTCAAAGGGCTCTTTTGAAGAGCAGGTTCCATATATTCTAACATGGTATCAGAGCTATATATAATCTACCATTGTGCCCTTCTAGCGTCTATTGAGAAGAGGGGGAGGGGAGTGTTAGATTCCCACATCGGTTAGACTCGACAATTTCTTCTCAAGATATGTTTTGGAACCTCCGCTCTCTCCTTAAGGGCTCTTTTGTAGAGTAATCTAAAATGAGGTTCCACATATTCTAACATAAACTAAACATACCTCTACATTCTGTCTAACATCATCACCTCCATGATATGAATATATCTGTACAATGTGCCGTGAATATGCAACTCCTGTTCATATACGAAAAAGTAGAAGATTGATTATTTATCAGGTAAGTGCTTAGATCGTGCCATTCGATAAGTTAGCAGGACTTACCAAACAATGAACCATCTGGGCTCCAAATCACACGGTTCACAGAAACACCGGGATCTTTTACTAGAGCAGCCTGCATTCAGTAAAATGTTAAAAGATATAATATTTACAAACAAGTATATATCATATTTCGACTGATTAAAGATCTCTACATACCTGCAGAGGCATTGAACATGCACCAAGATTCCAAACTTTGAAATTTTTAAGAACCAATTTTTCCCTTGAACCAACTTCCCACAATCCAATGTCTCCCACATGTGTTCCAACTGATGCATCAAAGTCAGTATCGACCATAGGGATACAAATAAAAGGTATAAATGCCGAAAAAATAACCACCTAAGAGTAATGTCTGTTGGATAGGATGAAAGTCCATGCTCATAGAAGAGGAACCCTGGTTTAGATTACGTGCAACTGTCTTGGGCAAGTCATCAGGTGCGCTAAAAGCTTGACTGTGGCCCGCGTGCCCGGGGAATGACACAGGCAACACGTTAACCGGCAGATTGACCTGTGAGACGAATCAACATATTCATAGCCGTCAATAATACGCTCGTCATTTAGGAAGAGAAATGCTATTAAAGCAATCAAATCAAGCTTAGGGGCTGTTTTGGTTGGTTTTCCATTAAAGCCTGTATGGATAAAGCTGTCTATGTGGATTAATCTGTTTGTATAGATTGGGAAGGTTTGGGAGAGGTTTTTTTATTGATGGCAAGAGCGTGTTATTTAGTTGGGAGAGGCAGGTTTAGAAAATAAACTTGGTTTTCTGCATAAAGCTCCCCCTAGAAGCTTTTGAATAAGTTCCTTTCTATATCATTACGCCACTACCAAACAGTCATGTATAACTGACCGAATGAGCTATGAGCCCCATTAAGTTCGTTAAGCTGCTAACGAACAGACCCTAAATCTTTTTCCCAAAAAAACAGACCCTAAATCACCTCATCAGTTATCCCTATAGGCCTGGTTCTTTTGCTCATATGATCCGAATCTGCAGATGGGTAATCCAAAGAAGAATTCATTGGAGTTCTTGGATGCTTCAAAGCAGCTGTACAGGGCAACGGAATAAGCACAATTAAGTCTTAACAGGTTAATAAGAGAATGGCATCAAGAATTCAGTTTCAGACCAGCAAAGTGCAGATATTCACCTGGAATTGAGGGACCACCAAGACCAATGGCACTACCAGAAACCGTTGGATGAGATACGGCTGGAGGATTAGACATCCAACCGGCAAGAGGACTTGGTACTGGAGCCGGTGTAGCTTGAAAAGGCTGAACAGATAGAAGCAGAGGCAGATTAGCTTAATAAATAAGCCAGCTAACAAGAATGAAATCCAAATATCAATGTGGTCAAAGGAAAAACTACAGACCCCATGTGCACCCAAAGGAGGAAAGCCTCCAGCTTTTGGTAATGATCCAAGCAATGGATTGTTTCCAGGTGATGGAGCACGTGCACCGTTTGGTTGTCCACATGAATGGTCTACAAATAAAGTTTTGATATCTGGATTCGGCCTCGGGTTTTTACAAAGTTGGTGCTGCCAATTCAAGCTGCGATACAAACAAACTAACACTTTCAATCCCTTGAAGTGTAACACCTGAAAGACCAAAGGAACAGCCCAGCCCAATAACTTCGAATCCAACTTAGAACAACGTTGGAAGTTATTAATATCCCACAAATAGAGTCCCATTTTCTATCAATGTGGGATGAGTTGTTACGTGAGGAGAGAATGGGAGATTCCAACATATATAGAGAAGAAGACGTCCCCACGGTGTCGAGTCCATTAAGTGGTAGATCTTGGCTCTGATACCATGTTAGAATATGTGGAACCCCAATACATTACTCTCCAAAAAGAGCCCTTGCGGAGAGAAGGGACTAAAGAGAAATGGTTCAAGTCAATCCAATGTGTGACTCTAACAGTAAGGTATATAAAACATGGTACAAATCAAATGTTGACGGTTTGTTTACCTTTGGTTTATGAGAGTCCGTAACCTTGAATTCTTAAGGTTAGGAAATTGCAATTTGTCACGGAACAAGGGATTTGCTTCAACAAGTTTCTTTAACTCAACCAACATTATAGCCCGAGCTGATTTAGTATCTCCATATTTGGACAGTTGTTCATTCTCCCTAAATGCAAAAGAAACAGATATTTTTACACGACAACTCCAACGAACTCTTAAAAGGGTATATCACAAAATGTGCACATTCGTCGTACCTAAAATTCTCCAAAGTCAATAACTGAGTTATCTCCTTAAAAAGATCTTCATTAAATGAGGCAAAAACCTTAAGATCTTTTACGAGGATCTCGACAGCCTTGGACCTGTCATTCCTATCGAAGAAATTTCAAGTAAACCCCATTATTCAAGACCAAAAATAGAAATTGACATCGAACATGTGATCGTTAATTCGACCAACGGGCTGCGCTTACTTATCCAATGCCTCGAGATACTTCTGTTTTCGGATTTCGAAAAAGATCTTCATCGAATACCGATTATCATCCACTTTAGTGAAACCAGAAAGGTATTTTTCAACCTCATCCCAGTTCCCATTATGCACTTCATCTTCAAAATACTTCATGTTAAAGAAAAACCCTGATTCTTGTTCAAGCCTATGAGATAAACACAGCAAATTTGAAAAACAAACAATTTCCACACAAAAATCAAAGAAAATATGCATCAAAAACCCAAAATGTAAGCAAATGTGAATTCAAACACTTACTTATGAACAGTCTCTTTGAATTTTTCTTCATCAAGAAACTGCAAGATCAAGAACACCAGCTCTCTGCTTAAAGAAGACATTGCAACTCCCCAGTCCCTATATCAGGATAATGATAATTAAGGTTCTAAAAAAGCAGATCTGTAAAACCCCCCAAAAAGTGGAAGATTATATAAAATAAGTTAACAAAATAAGCAGGCTCAGCTAATACTAACTTCATCTGAATAGTTATTTTAAAGAAATTACCCATATAGCTTAACTAATTAAGCATTTCATGCCTATTCACCAAATTCAAAGACTAAAAATAAGCTTAATAGCAAAATTTCCAAAAACCCCCCAAACCCAAAAACCAGATCCTTGAAATCTTAATCTTTAAAGTTCAATCGAACCCAAAAAGCACACCATTTTTTTTCTTGAACATGCACCGACATATATGAATAACAATCAAAGAAAAGCTGTAATTTTTATAAAAATAGATATAATTTTTTATATTCGTGGGGCGGATCAGAGAAAATAAAGCAGCTTTTTTTAACCACTGGGGGGAATCAAAGATGCAAAAACAAAGAAAAAGGGGGGGGGGGTGTTCACAAATGGGAAAGACAAAGCAAGAAACAGAAGAGGGCAAAGATCAAAGGAAACTCACCTTAGCAAGATTGATTGATGATGATAGACCAGAGATCAAGAAACACACACACACAGAGACACACAGATAGAGCTTTCTCTCTCTAGTTTCTCTCTCTATATCTATTGTATATATGTATATCTGGTTTCTCTCTCATCCACTCCTCCTCGCTTTCTCTCTCTACTTCTATTGTGCGGAGAAAATTAAAATATGACATTACTTGCAGAAATGGCGATTTTTATAGAAATGGGTGAGGATAGGGGATGATAAGCACGTGTACTTATCACACTTCATAAGCACATGACAGATTGATAAGTAATATCGACTTATGATAAGTCCAGCTCTGTGTGGGACCCACGTAAGCCGGCTAGGTTCATCGGCTTGGAATCTTCTACCGACACTGTCCTTCGGCTTAGCTCCGGAACTCCAAGGAGGAGTGAATGCTAGCGTACTTCGCTGCTTACAAGTAGGTAATATCCAAGCCCTTGAGCTTATGTGGGACCCATTGGGTCAGCGAGCTGAAACGATCGGACGGTGTGGGATAGATGGAAGGCAATGGGTCCCAGCTACTGGTTGTTTATTACGAACTTGGTACAGTTTATTGGTGTTGTGGGATTTATGGCCATGACCGAGAATTTGATGTATTTTGAATAAATGAGATGAGAAAATGAGAAAATGAAAAAAATAGAAATCCTGCGATTTCTCGTGGATGAGATTAGGAGTATTGTAGTAAAGAAAAGTTGCCTAAATATTCGAAAAGTTGTTTTCAGTGCTTCTATTAAATATTTTATAATAAAATTTAAATAGGGGAGGCTAATGACACCCCTATCAATTGCCATTAACACCCCTAAGACTAGTTGTCATTATTATTTTTATTGTTTTTAGTGTTTTTTTGTTTTTTTATTTATTTTATGTTTTGTTTTATTGTTATTTTAATTTATTTTTAAAGAAATTTTTTATTTTGTTTTTTTCTGTTTATTTATATTATATTTTGATTAATACAAATTATTAATAAATATATATTTTTTATAG